CCCCCCCCCTCCCCATAAATAATGACCACTCCCTAAGGGCTAAAAAGCGAAAGTTGACAGGTCTGGGAGTGTCACTCAAAAAAACATGTCAACGTGTTTGCCATTGGTTCACTACCAGAATTTCCCCCCTACTGGCCGAGGGTAGATAATTCTTGATTGCTGTTGAAATGTTTCAATGTCTATTCTTCTAAATTCGACCGAATGTTGGGTCATTTGATTGTATTTTTCTTGTAAATAAATTTATAGGCAATTAGGCAAACACCCGTGGGAACTGTATTTACAAATTATATTTATTTGACTCCAAAACAAATACAAAAGACAAGACTTTCCATGTTACTTACTCTAAATTATAAAACTTTCAGCCTTTTGATTTATTCTCGTTGATAAATTGGTAAATATTGATAAATTTGTTTCCTGAAATCCTCGAATATTCCAGTAAATTCGAGAAATGCGGAAAGAGACGGTCCAATGCTTCCACATACTTTCAAAATGAAATTTCTTTCAGCAAAAATTCCTGTTCAAAATTTCCCTGAACCTTTAGGGGGCTCCCCTCTAGCCCCCCCCCCCGGAAATATTTTTAAATCTAGAGCATAGGTCTAGGTCTAGACTCTAGAGTTGGTAGAATAACGTTTCAAGATATAAATTAAATTTTTTTGGGGGAACCCATTTTTTATCGATGTTTGGTGATTTTAAATTATTATTTATTATAAACCAATTCAGAAAATTTCGACGAAAATTATTTCAAAATTTGAAACATAGCAACCGAAGATATAAAATTAATATTACAACTTTATGGCGATTTTGTGAAAAACTCATTTTCATCAATGCAAAACTCATCTTCATCAATCTCTAACCTATGACAAGCTGAGCTTTGGAATCCCGCCCCCCGCCCCCATGGCCCATAGGCATTTAACGGGGGGGGGGGGGGCTTATATTCGGAGGTTTTACGAACAAAGGAAATTTTCGAAAGCGGCAACCCAGACTCCCATGCACTGTTCGGCTTCCGTTCCATTTTAATTTAAAAACAAACATTTCAAACATGGAGGTTAAAATTCATATCGAAACTGAATTTCCAGTGCCATATAAAACAACAGATTTGAAAATTAATTTAGAAAACCTCGAAAGTATTGGCGATATGAAGAAGAAGCTACAGCCTCTGCTCAGCGTTGCGGCGTGTGATATGTCTGTTTACCACAAGACACAGGTACTTTTAAGTCCAAAATTAGAAAACAGAAAGAAAATATCGAATTTGTATGTGCGAGAAGGCGACACGTTTATTGTTAAATTTATAAGCGTGTGCAAGTTACATTTCTTGTCGAAATTTCTTGATGATATGAGAGCGTTTGTGAAGGATGTTTGTGAGACTTTTTCAGAAGGGGATAAGATTAAGGAATGTATAGATTGGAATGATGATACAGCATCGGCCATTGATAATTGTTATCGAACTGTGTTACGCAGTTTAGAGGAATGTGCCCACAATGAGTTTGTGCCGTGGAACTGCAGGTCGACGATTGCGAACAGACACTATTTTGCACAAGAAGGTGGTTTGGAGCTGTTGGCAAGAATCTATAATTTTGCTTCAAAAAAGCGTTATCCTTTAGGAGTTAGGTATGTGGCTGGCTGTTTGTAGGAATGTACTCCCCACCCCCTCCCCCATTGCTAGTGATGGGCGATACCAAGAATATCGATTCGATTACGATTACACTACTTTTCGGACCAACTATCGAAGTATCGATTACTCAAACGATTACTTATTGCATAATTCTTCTAATATGTTGATAATTACCTACAAAGACTTTTATATGATTAAGAACAATTCAATCACTTTGCTTTGTTTACAGAACTAGCTGTCTTCTCGAAATAATTCCACACCACACTTTGTAAAAAAGGCTGCAGATCTGCTGTAGCTGCGTTTTCAGCCATATTGTTTCAATGTTTTTTTCTTCTATTTTTCCGCCATTTTTGTCTTATACCTAGCAAATACAAAATAAAATGGAGAGAACAGACAAATACGCAGCTAAAACACTTGCAAAATGTGCAGATTTTTGTTTTAAATATTGCCGAAAAGTAACCCTTATGGTAAATTCAGCGAGTAATCAAAAATATTTCAATACCACTCTGGTATCGATTACTCCCGGTAGTAGCCTGGTATCTAGCGGTATCGATTACTCGGTAATCGGTAGTCGCCCATCACTACCCATTGCAATCTAGCTCAACAACATTTTCCTTTTAAGTACTAGTTAAAACATGAGCAGCCGATCTTTATCTGATATACAAGCTCAATCCGAAGGCAAGAGTTTGTATATCAGATAAAGATTGGATGCAAATATAATAATAATTAACGATTATTCGGCGAAGGCAAGGTGATTATTTGGCGAATTATGAGGTGAATAATTGTTTTAGTATTTTTACACTAGTCTTTTGTGTTTTTTTTTTGGATTTGAATTTATTTTAATTTTGCTTATTTCTTTATCAACAAAACGGCTAGCTGCCATTTTGAAAATTTCGGTTTTGTTATATTTAGGGAAAGTACATTTATTACACCGAGGGAGGGGGATGAAGATGTCTTGAAAAAAGCTCATATTTTTACAGGGCCCCTGTTGAGGTTATCGGTAAATTTCGATGCCCCCCCTCCAAGTTTTTAAAATTTTCAATGCCCCCCCCCCCTTTAGAATTCGGAATCGAAGGAGTACAATCCGGAATTCACTCTTATCATAGATACAATTTGCAGTTCCTCAAGATGTCTGATATACTCAAGTGCTTCTCCTCAACAAAACTACCGATCTGCTGCTTCTTTCATCTCACTAGCGCCAGATGAAATGGCACCGTCTTTAAAACATTTTAAATTGGCTCTGGGGGTGGAATTATCAACAGGTTGTTGTTGTCCATCATTCAGCGTATTCGGAGTCTTGTAGTGGCCGGGATTTCCTGGATCAGGGTAATGTGCTGGAACCTTACAGTATGTTGCCCCCACCCAACGTATCTCCCGGCATCTGTTGCAAATGTCTTTGCATGCCTGTCAAGAATGCATGCAAAAGTGCCAGTATGCTTCAATTTCTTTAATTTCCATCCCGTTTGTACGAAATATCCCATAAACATAGAACATATCATTCTTGCAAATTGTATATGCTTTTTTGCTTTTTGGCGCGTAAATTACTTCACAAACCTGGCGCAAAAAGGTTTAAAATAAGCTATAGGTGATTTCCTGTATCCATTTAGAAGAGCAGACTAAGGATATCTTAAAACTAAAATCGGTTTCGAATACAACCATCAGGGACGTAGCAAAGCATCTGACATTTGGGGTGGGGGGGATGTCAGAGGATTATACGTGTAATAATTATAATAAAGCTTTTTGTGATTGATTGGCACTCTCATACTAAGTTTTGGGAGAAAAGGGGGTCTGGGTGTCCTCCCCCAGAAAATTTTTACATTTTTGAAGCTCTAGGACTGAATTTCTGGCGTTTTCTAAAGCAAATTTCGCAAACAAATTGCATGTAAATTGACTGTATTTTACAAAAATGGTTATCATTTCACAAAAATAATTACTTTATTACGCAAATTTTACTTGAAACTGATGTAAAAATTTTAACTTTAATTTGCTGGGGTCAAACCTTTGAAAAGTTTAGAGCCCCCCCTTCAGTATATCAAGAACTTTCAGAGCCCCCCCTTTAATGCCAGAAAATATTTCGGAGCCCCCCCTTAACATCTTCATCCCCCCCCCCCCTCGGCATAATAAATGTACTTTCCCTTACCTGTTGGTGAATATAACGGCTTAAGGTTACTCCAATCATATGATGAAAACATTGATGAAAACATTGATATACGCTCTAAATTTTGTGTCGGTGAGTGGTGAGCGTACCAGTCATGTGGCAGATTTGTGGCTATGAACGGTCGCTTATAAAAACATTGCCTATTTGTGTGTTCTGCTGGGGTCTGCACCGTAGGCTAATTCTCGTGAGAATCTTAAGTTTTCTTATTTTGACATAATAGCTATTTTTCAATAAATATACTGATATTTCAAACTTATTGAATGATCAATATTTTAAGTTTCACGCCAGTTGTACCAAAGGTTTATGTAAGCGCTATAGCACATGATAAGTTTCAGATGGCATGCAACATGTACGCACTGCGTACCTATTTTTTACATTTTTGTCGATTTATATCGAGGGGCTAGAGATCTTTCCATTTCCGCAAATATTTTTAAAAATATTAAAATGCAACCGAGATATAACTGAAAATGTTATAGTCTAATTTTTTTGCCGGGAAAGTTTTGATTGTGATTGACAGTTTGTGGATAAGTGTGACCACAGGCGGTATTCAACATTGGGCATTTTAGGTATAGCTATATCATTGTAATAACAGGATCGTACACAACACAGTGAAATTTGCTTTCTAAGTAAATGCAGGTTTAAAAAGTGATCAATCTTCAGGCCAAACGTATATGTGTGAGCGCTATGCCTTGAAAATCAAATGCTTCCGTAGGTTTGCTTCGTTTGCCTTTGCGTTTCGCCGGTATGTTCAAAATATTAGCAAGTTTTGCTGAGTTTCGCACGTGGCTTGACTGTCTGGATTCTCGCAAGTGTTGCGATAAACTGCATGATAAAAACTATATATAACTATGCGTGTGCTGCTTTTCATCTTGTAATTGATGCCGAACTCTGAAATGAAACCCAGCCAAAACACACTTTAAAAAGTCGAACCTGGCTTACAGTTTGCAGTGATGACAGTGGGCGGAGAAACATAACAGAGAACGGAAAAATTCCACAAAATCACTTTTTGTCTTTTACAGAGAAAACCGTGTTCGCGTTTTTCTTTTAATGCTTTAGTTTTCAAATTATAGGCTTCTGTTCTATCGTTATTGCAAATTTTTGATGAGTCAACTTATCTGCTTTATATCTCGGCAAATATAATACCTGTAAAAAAAAACGCGAACACGGTTTTGTTCTTTGATGATCATTTAACATGGGAAATGTGATATTTCGGAAGCTTCTGAGTTTAATCGGATGGTTCTAAAGCTTGTCGCGCCAAGTGCGTCATATTTTCAAAAGCAGCTTGTAGCAACCATGGTTTTTAAAAATGTATAATTTTTGTTAAAGTAGTAGCAGCAGCAACGATTTATCGTTGTGAATGCCAAATTTGAGGGGGGGACTTAAAAAATTAGTGCGTGGCGAGCATTTTCCTGAAATGGACTTTTGTCCTGTGGAGTAATCTTAATACGTCAAATTTGACCAATCAACTTGTAGGATTTGTTATATTGACTTGTGCAAAAATACTAATATTTAATATTTCTATTGCACGATTTTAGTTCATTTTACGTAACTATGCGCCAGAGCTCTCCCCTTGATAAGTAAAATAATTTGGTGTTCGACAGCGTAAGACAATAAAGTATGTAGGGCACATTAGGCTGTAATATGCAACTTAATGATTGGGTTAATCACCAAGAAACCCTCAAATATTTTTTTATTTATTACTAATTTTTTTTATTTTAGTGACAGGGACTTGCAAATAGCAACGTATTTTAATCTAAAACAAAATGAATTGGAAGTGTTTTGTCTTCAGTGTCTGTGGAATTTCTCTGAAATTAAAGAAGATCGACGGATGGTTTTAAGATCTATTGGTCTAGAGCCATTCATTCACTCTCTTCTCAAAGTCTCGCCAGATGCTGACGACGGCGTTGAGCATGTTTACATTAACCAAGCTTCTGTGGGATGTTTAGCACAGTAAGAAGCCAATTTCTTGATCCCCCCCCCGAAAAATCATGTTTGGAGTGTCTGAGCAATTTTCAAAAATACTAAATATGCAAAATTGTGCCATAGAATAGAGAGCCACCCTATTGTTTGCAATGATTCGTCATCAAAATGCATTTGCTATGTTCCTAGCCAGTACGCTTATGAGAGGCATTTATCCCCCTGAACATCCACCATTTTGAATATTTTCAGGGGGGTGAATGCCTCTTGTGAGTGCACTGGACAATGTTGCAGTGTTTATGCCAAAATCATAGGCAAAACCAAGGAGCTAGTTGACCTAAAAGTAAGGTGTCCATTCAGCAACTGTGCCTTTTATACCAAAATTAAGTAAATCAACATAAGTGGAAGAATCACCAAAATAATTCTTTTTCATTTTAGATATGTTGAGCTGCCAGACATCCAACAAATTTTAGCCGAGAACCATGAAGTTTTATCAAAACTTCTCTGGCTTACATCCAATGGTTCAGACTCTTATCAGAAAGAGGTTGCAGCAAATACATTATTTTGTTGCTCTAATCATCCCAAGGCTGCTAGAAAGATCATTGAAAATCAATGTTATCGTTCGGTTCTTGAAAAGGCCCAAGGGTTGGAATTGGCTCGCGAGGATCTTTCTGCTTTGCCTTTCACAACTGCTGTTGCGTGAGTATATAAATGCCTGTCTCAAGATTCTGGGGATCTCATTCGTTTTAACTAATTGTTTGAGTGATTTGTAGCTCAGTTGGTTAGAGCACTGCACCGGAATTGCAGGGCTGCAGGTTCGGCTGATAGTTGCATTTTTCGCCGGTTATTTCTCGAAATTACAAAGGAAAATATTTCATCCTTAATTACCGCAGAGATGTCAAGGAAAAGGTTTCTTCCTTTTCTAACTTAAATTTTACACAATAATAGTCTTTGTTAAATATTTGGATAAAATGACAAAAGTCACAAAACATCCAAAACCTAACTCGAAAAGTTTTTTAAAAATATTGTCATTTCCAAATCATGACTCGCTCAAATATTGGAGACTAAAAGGCAATGCCAACAGTCATATGTCAATTCAATGCAGGCCTCGAATTTCCCTGAAATCAATCGACGGCAATGGCGTTAAAAATTGCCGTAGAACGTAACAGCTGTCTACGGCAATTTTGGCAGTTTCCACGGCATTTTTCAAATTACTGTAATAAAACTTTAATTTTATTGTTACTTTGGATTTTTGACAAGCTAGAAACATGTCTACGTATTTCTTTAGTGTGTTTTTTTTCGAAGAAAACTGAGACTAAAATAGTGATTTACGCACGATTTGATCAACATCTGAATTCAAGTATCAAAGTAGATTTAATGCACAGTGGATAGTATAAAAATTGCACTATACGGCAAAAAATTGCCGTCGTTGCCGCAATGATCAACGGCATTTTGTTCTCCCTCTACGGCAATTGCCGCGATAAAATTCGAGCCCTGATTCAATGTGTAAATCAATCAGAGCCACTATCATACTGTCTTGATCATTTTCCGATTTGTCAGGAGGTAACTGATGTCTCCGAAGAAAGTACATGTGTAGACTACATGACACTTTAGACTGCAGAAAATTGCACATTCAAGCAGTTATCAAACTCATGTAACAGAAGTGGTAAAGGACATGTGTGAGTGTGACAAGTTTACCATTAGTAACATTTTTGCCCAGGGGTGCAGGGTGTTTAATTTCTAATTGATATTTGAAGTTGGGTAAAATTTTTTTGACTTTTTAATGGTTGGATCAGCAGAATTTTTACCAAGAAAAACATTTTTCTTTGGTTCCACCCCCGCCACAAATAATGACAGGTCCCTCAACACATTGGGATCCGGTACAATGACAAAATATGCGAGGGGTCCAAATCCGCTAGCTAAAGCGGATATGGACTCCCCGGTGCATATTCGCTAGCGGATTTGGACCGGGGGGTCCATTTTGAGAGGTGTCCAAATCTGCTTGGACAACGGTGTCGGATGATAAATTAATAGACCATCCTTTTTAGATACTTTTTCTGTTTATTCTTGGCTAACATCCAAACTTTGCCCGAAGAAAACCTGCTTCCTTACGACGAAATACAGCAAATCAACCAAGTCTTAGAAGCTTTCCTGCACGTAGTCACTCCTTCCAAAATTGGCCGTTTTCAAGAAGAACATAGTTATGTGTGGATAAGCTTAATTCCTTTTCTCCAGTTAGCTTTGGCAGGACCGAGTAGGCCTTTTGGGACTGAGAATGAGCGACTTCAGACTCGTCCCCAGGTCTCTGTGGATCCACGCTCGGAAATCGGAACCCAACCGGGTGAAAAAAGTTGCGATGCGGAAATTTCCAACAACCGTGAAATTGGTCCGTATAATTTTTCCCCGGCGGAAAAAATCGGTTTGTTCTGCCTTTGTCATTTGGCAAATACCCCGGAAAACAGAGAGCTGTTTAAAAAGGAAAAACTTGAAGATTATTTAATTTGTGTTTGTTGGTTTGCACAACGCTGTCCCGAAGTCGCTGATTTAACACCAAAACTTGATGGATTCGAGCGCTTAGAGCCACCACGCTTAGAATCAATAGCAAAAGCATATCTTTCAAAATGTTTCGGTGAAAAAATAATGTAGGAAAATTGGAATGGGAACCTTTATTTATAGGCTATTTAATAGGAACTTTATTTATTGAGAAATGCAGTAAAAATCCGCACAAAAAAAACACCATTTTTTATGTCAGGGGCGGCAGTAGGCGGGGATTGTGTGGGGGGACCCGTCGGCAAAACATGAATTGGATAGGAAGGAACGATAAGAAAATATTTGAGTAAAAGCTCTGAAAAGTGAAAATTCTTTTTCATCGAAAAAAATGTTTTCTTTCTGCCCCCATCGCCAAGAATTTTCTAAAATGTATACCAAACATTAAATTAAGCCTTTTTTAAGCCTATATACTCGCCTATTCCTGTAAAAGTTTTTTAAGAACCATTCTCATTTGTCAGCCTGAAGTGGTTCACTGGTTCTTGTATGTTGGGAAGGGGCTACTTAAAAAAATGGATTATTATAGTATATATTAATGCATGCAATATAAATGACTATATACAAGTTTAATGACATCAAATATTAAAGATATTTCAGTGGCCAATGCCAATGGAGTTTGGGTAATGGTCGAGGGTCGAGGTTCGGAAGTCGAGGTCGAGGGTCAAAAGTCGAGGTCGAGGGTCAAAAGTCGAGGGTCGAAAGTCGAAAATACTAAATTTTTATCCATTTTAAAAGTTTTACAACCATTAAACGCGGCAAAGCAATTAGTTTTGCTGTCAAAACTGAAAAATTTCGCCTATGGCTATGCCGTATGGCTATGTACTGTATAACTGAAAGTTTCGTTTGTGGAACTAAAAGTCTGATGCGAGGTTTGATGTTTGAAAGCATACATCTTTTATTTTACATTGGACAAAAATATATACGAACACGGACGATTATACGAAAATGGCGTTTCACTCTCATGAGAAACCAATTGAACTAAAAAGAACTGGAACGCTACGTTCAAACGGAAGTTTGAAGCTAAATTCTACAAGGTCGTACACAGGCTTTAAAACGCCCGTTTTAAACTGAAAAGGCCCGTTTCCCTTTCTATTCGCGTCTTGCCATGAAAACGTTCAAAACGGCATGCTTCGAACGCCCCTACATTGTCTCGCGAGTAAATCGCGCAGTAGAAACACGCGTGGAAGTGCGTGTCTGGGAGTCAAAACTGGCTTCATTTAGCTTCATGGGAGTCAAATTTTGGCTTCAAAATTTGCACGCGCAGTTTACTGAACGTAGCGTTCCAGTTATTTTTAGTTCAATGTGAGAAACTGACTATAGCCTATAGATAACTGCCTCGTCCCCAGGCGCTAATTAAAAATTTCATGCGAGTCACTATATGAAAGATTTACATGAAGTAGTGCATCGCGATGAACAAGCGCAGGGGGTTATGGGCTTGAGGCATCAAAATTGAGGAGCGCCTGGGAGATCTTGTGCCGTTTCTTGCAAAATTCGTCTGTTTCTTGCAAATCGTGGTTTTTCGACAGTTTTAGGGCTTTTTTCGCCATTTTTTTTGAGGAAACAACATTTCAAATTGTTCAATTAAACATGTGATTACAGTCATATGATATTTGATATCTTTTAACGCTTTAAATGATTCCGAGATGTCAACACTTGAAGAGTTCTAGTGTTCTACGGGGCTGTAGAAGCCAGTTTATATAATAAATTTACAAGGTATGGAAAAATGACAATGAATTTTTATCACAACGGGCAATTTATTTTAAAAATATACAGCTACAAGACGTTTTTTAAACAAGGGAGCGATGAAACTTTATTTTGTATTGCATTTGCAAGATTCGTCTCAGGATTTCAGTTACGAGCTTATTTACATGCAGTATGTTTGATTTTCACGATGCAAACGATCGACAATATTTTGAATAATTCAGATAAGGATAGCTTTATTTCTTTCTGGTGATATACATGAAGGGATTTATATTTAGATCTGTTGTTTACTTGTATGTTCGACAGCTATTTATACAAGATCGGCCAGGCGCTAACCAGAACGCTCATATCCCACTCCCCTTTGCGCGCCTAGAATGTGACGCACTACTTCATGTAAACCTTTCATATAGTAACTCGCATGAAATTATTTTTATTAGCGCCTGGGGACGAGGCAGTATAGATAATATGTTATCTCTTGGACTTGGAGGCGAAAGAGTTCTGAAATTCTCAGAACTTCAACTTAACGATACTCTTCAAACCGCGTATGGTTTTGGAGGTTTAAAGCGTTAGGGTGTGCGAGAAACAGTTGATATTTATATATTTTATAACATCGTCATGTCTGCACCGGAAGTGCACATGTTCGATTGACAGTTTCATATTCATAATATAGTTGCGAGAACGTTGTAGTGTAATAAAATGGAAACTTTCTTTAGTTATTCTGTCAAAAATAACATGCACGAAGCACGAATCTTTATAACAGGGTGATTTTAGTTCGGTTCAGAATTATCTCACGACCATTGTGAGAGATTTTTACTATTTGCTGCGCTGGGACCCAATTCGTTCTGATAGTACAATAAATACAATATATTTTCGAATCACCCCACCGGCACCGTATGTTCTCGAATAGTTTTAGTAATTTTACACTTTCTCGAAAAACAAAAAGGAACCTAATTATGCCCTAAGGCATGTTCTGTACTAACAGTAATAAAGTTAGAAATGTTTAATAAAAAAATAATATTTCCCATTTTCGACCCTTGAATTTCGACTTTCGACCCTCGACTTCTGACCCTCGACTTTTGACCCTCGACTTTCGAACCTCGACCTATGACCCTCGACCCTCGACCTATAACCCTCGACCTATTACCCTCGACCATTACCCAAACTCCCAATGGACCTATTCCCTAATGAACAACATTTTGATCTAGACAAGTCTAGACAAAGATGTCATTACAGCTTGAAAGAGCATCACAAAATTAGTAATATTCCGAAGTTTCGCTGCGAAATGTTGTAAAATGCGGATAATATAGCCCTGCGAAGTTTGCCGTTTTTCAGTCGTTTGGTATTACAAACGGGAAATTGATACCGCTTTCTGAAAAATGGTATCAATTTCCCGCGCGTAATACAAAATGACTGAAAAACGGCAAACATCGCAGGGCTATATTATCTGCATTTTGCAACAAAACTTCGGAATATTACTACTTTTGTGATGCTCTTTCAAGCTGTGATGAAATTTTTGTCTAGACTTGTCTAGATCAAAATTTTGTTCATTAGGGAATAGGTCCATGTGACGTTTATGTATCTTACGCATTTGTTCTAATTTAGTTTATATGTTTTGAAATCAGCAAAAAAGAACCTGTGTATATTAAGAAAATAATAAAATGGTGTTGTGGGGTTAAAATATTCGATATGGAATGCGGAGGCGTCTTGAGAATAAATGTATTGTGTTTGGATGCGGTCTCAAGCCGAAAAGTGCAATGTTGGGAGTTTCACCCACCGCCCCCTTAAATTTCAGTTTGGTGGTTCTTGACCCACGGGTTCTGCAGGTTTTTACTGTATCAAAAAGTATGATGTTTACTCCTTGTAGTTTTTCATAACGATAAATGTTTTGATTTATTATTTGCACTGATGAAGATCCGGGCTTGCGGATCAAAAGCTTTATTATTCATTGTACTCTGTTCTCGTTTTCTCGTCAGCTTTTAGCCTACGGGGTTGAGCAGGGTTTTTTGTTTTGTTCTGAATTATTCACAATGGGTAGTACTCGTTTTGCATCTTTTGCAAGTGATGCAACTGAGAAAATAATCAATAGAATGAATCATAAAACTATTGGATATTGAGGTTGGATATCCAGAATTATTCAGACCTTGGCCAGTGTAAGCCGTCTCAGCCTTTGGCAGATAACATTGATCATGGTCTGCCATTAAACGTGGAATTTAACGTCAAAGGCGATAATCTATGTCAAAAAGTGGGACGTAGCCGGCCAGCAGACGTTATATCACGACTGTTCAAAAAGTGGGGGATGCGACCCAGGGGAAAGCTGGGGAACGAAGTTGAATGCGTCCCCCAGGATTTATGCCCCAGAGTCCTGTTTCAATGTTGAGCATTGAGACCAATGATTGAGACTCGCACTCAGTCTGCCCACCGAGATAAATGCCCGTATTCTAAAAGCTCACTCACACTCAATGAGTGGAGGTTCAATCTGAGCTTCTCTCGAGTGTCAGTGCTGTTTTTGAATAGCTAAAGGTTAGTATCATACCTTACTATGTGACTACTCACCCTCCAGCTATTCAAAAACAGCATTGACACTCAAGAAAAGCTCAGATTGAACGTCCACTCAGTGAGTGTGAGTGAGCTTTTAGAATACGGGCGAAAGTCTTAAAGACATTTTATAATTTATCTTCGTTTACAGCACGCTTAATTATAATTAACTTCAATAACATACAAACTTCCTAGGACTTTCTCGGTGTATGAAGAACCGATATATTTTTCAGTTAGAATTAGGGTTCAATTTTACGATCAGGCCAGTGTCAAGCCTTCGTTTGTTCGTACCCCGAGAAAGTACTTAGTTATAAGCGGCGGGTATTAATTGGGACGAAAGTCCTGTTCCTCATCCCAGCCACGTACGTTGTCTTGTAACATGTTATGTATATCAGTGTCATTGTAAATATTTATGACGAATTTAATAATAATTAGAGGCTGAGAGCAATTAGCCTGATTTACTCTGAAGGTAGCTGTCAACATTTCAGGGTCAACTAATTGAGTTATACAAGGCAAGGGTGAAGTGATGGTGGGCACCGAATCTTATACCCAGAGCCATTTATTTCGGTAGCTTTGGGACCAGATTTTATACTAGTGGCTCTTCTGCCTCTTCATTGGCCAATATGACTGAATCTACATTGATGATGATCAATGCACCCGGCCCCCTCCACCAATTTGAAGGACAATATTTTCTATCGATTGTCTATGGTAGTTGCTTTCGATAAGTAGAACAGGGTTTGTACAAAACTTGAAAGTCCTTGAATGTCCTTGAATTTGAAAACAAAAATTCAAGGCCTTGAATGTCCTTGAATTTGTAAATAAGTGCTTGAATGTCCTTGAATTCTTCTTGCTTTAGAGTTTAGTTTTTGGATATTTTCTGAAATTGTTTGACATTCAAGACCGACATTTTGTTGAACTGATTTTGCATGTTCATATCTGACCTCATTATATATTACGAAAGTCACCGAACTGTGGAATCGCATAAAAAATTCGTATATCGACCACTCCCACAAACGTCTACGACCGCGCCTACATAGTTTTGCATGTTTACAATTCTAATTTTAAACAGCCAATTACCAAGAACCTGATTGGCTGTTCAAAATTAGAATTGTAAACATGCAAAACTATGTAGGCGCGGTCGTAGACGTTTGTGGGAGTGGTCGATATACGAATTTTTGATGCGATTCCACAGTTCGGTGACTTTCGTAATAGTTACGTTTTGAACAATTCAACGTCAGATTTTGCTGATTTCTATAAACGCCTTCTTCTTCAGTATTTAGTCCTTGAATTTGCTGATACATGGCCTTGAAAAGTCCTTGAATTTGACTCTTCCTGACATGTACGAACCCTGGTAGAAAAATGATCGTAAAGTTTTAATAATCAAATTTCCGGATCCTATTGGAAGGTCAGAGAGGAAGCCCAACATGTTGTTTGATTGATCTCAAAATTCTTAGCTACGTAGGTGAAGCATGTTTTAATTAAAGTGAGAAAAACTACGCAGAGTGAAAGGGAATTTTCCTGGTTTCTTCCAGGACCCAGTCCTAACTCAACTCTCTCATGCTTCATGGGAAGACCAGTGTGTGACCTTTCCATGGTGCAGCAGGGCCCGTGCAGGAGGCAGAACCATAGAAATATTAAATTAAAGATATCTCTTATTTCTATGGGCAGAACTCGATGGCAGAACCAAACCAGTGATTAGTGAACCCAGATCCAGTGATCTCCATTTTTTATCTGGAGCGAGAACTCGAGTTCAAATCTGGGCCATTCCATTTAATGTAAACACACACCCCTGTGGACGAGTTCAATAAAATTTGAACCCCTAAGAAAAAAAAAAGTGCCGACACAAACATCCCCCAGAAATTAAGAAATTTTTGCCTTACCCCTCAGAAAAAACGCAAAGATCAAAGGATGCCGATGCACACAACCCCTCAGAAACGGCCTTTTCAACCCCCCTCAGAAGTTCTCGTCCATAGGTATATTAAATGAATGGCCCTCTGCAAGGAGTGTGCCGAAATTTCCAGGATTGCAAAGAGTGTTCAATCTTTCTCCAGGTAAAATTTGAGGTTCTTCTCGAACCTTCCTCAGAATTATGTCAAATTATGGCTTTTTATGGTTTTATGAACTGATAACTTGATTAGCGATACGGTCCGTTAGAAAAAACTGGAATTAGGGAGTGTTCATTATCTTAGCTGTGGAAAAATGGAGTTATTAAAAATGGAGTTAAAACTGTTTACAACCTTGCTGACAGCTATTGACGTCGATGACTGATGCGGGGCTTCCGTTTCGGAAATTGCTAGATAGTATACTTCAAAATAAGCTTTCCGTTTTTATATCATTTTTTTAAATAAGTTAGGGTTAGGTTAGGTATAGGGTTAGGTTAGGGTTGGGGTTAGGATTAAGGTTAGTATTAGGGTTAGGGTTTAGTTAGGATAGTTTTTTCTACGTTATAAAAACGGAAACCTTATTTTGAAGTATACTATCTAGCAATTACCCTTCCGTTTCCTACGTCCTTATTTCGTTTTTATATCGAAAAGTTTCAAACATGGAGGTTAAAATTCTTATCGAAAGTGAATTTCCAGTGCCATATCAAACATCAGATTTAAAAATAAATTTAAACAACATCGAATGTATTGGCGATTTAAAGAAGAAGCTACAACCCTTATTCAGCGTTGCGGCATGTGATATGTCTGTTTACCACAAGACACGACAGGAATTGGAAAACAGAGAGAAAATATCGAATTTGTATGTGCGAGAAGGAGACACGTTTATTGTTAAATTTATAAGCGTGTGCAATTTACATTTCTTATCGAAATTTCTTGATGATATGAGAGCGTTTGTAAAAGATGTTTGCGAAGCATTTTCAGACTGGGATCGAATAGTGGAAAATATTGATTGGAATTCTGATAGTTTTGCAGTATTTGACAATTGTTATGCAGTTGTATTAGCAGATTTGGACATATGTAACCAGGAAATGTTTTCGCCATGGAAATCCAAGCCAACAAATGCAAACAAACATTATTTTGTACAAGAAGGTGGATTGTATCTGTTGGGTACGATCTATAACTTTGCTTCTAAAACGCGTTATCCATTGACAGTATGGTACGTATTATGTAAGGGGATATGGGCTTGCTGATAAGAAGTCGGGCTTTACCTCGGTGTAAGAACCTCACAATTAAAGGCACAGTTCAGCCTGTTGAACGATGGTTTTTAAGGCGCATTTCAGCCCTGTTAATTGAAAAAACTAACTAGGAAAATCAATTAAGCATAATTCAAAATCACCAATCTTAATCTTTTTAACATTTTAAAACATTCATATTGTTAAAAACATCGAGTTTACTGATTTTGAATTATGCTTAATTGATTTTCCTAGTTAGTTTTTTCAATTAACAGGGCTGAAATGTGCCTTAAAAACCATCGCTCAACAGGCTGAACTGTGCCTTTGAGTGATGTCACACAACTCAATTGATAGCCGGGCTTGCCCGCAGTCATACTCTAACCTGAGATCAGGCTCTATTTTACAAATATAAGCCTGACATCTGATCGCTTTCCACCCACAGCAAAGTTTATATTTAGTATCCAGTCAAAATGTCGCAGGCGAAATTTAAATTTCACACATCGACAACAACAATCTATAATTAACTTTGTCATCACTATAAAATATATCAACAACGATAGTTTAATGTAATTAGCACCAACCAATCAAATGACAGATTAAAAAATCTTTTGTCTCATAGACCAATTAGATTTAAAACCAAAATATGTTTGTAAGGCATGGACTTTTATTAAAGGTAGGTTACAGTCCCTTCTGCGCATGTCTGTGATTGTTTTTGTCTGGGGACTCCACCGGAAGTTGGGCAACTCGTGTACTCGGTCCAGTCTCATTTCTGGGAATAACACGCGCGTTGTTTTTTCGCAAGCGAAGGAGTGAAGCTAGAAGTTTCCAAAATATATTGAGCTTTTTTGAGCGACAATCCGTCAAATAACGAGTTTTTGAGGCAACATGACGAGTAGGAAAGAATACCACGCTAGCAGGGATGCTTCTAAAGTGTATCTATTTTATTGTTTTCCTCGATGAAGAGCTTGCCATTTCTGTCTGCGTTTCCCCATGATATACCTACATCCTCAAGCTTCTACTAAAGGTTTTCAAGAAAAGAATCCAAGGATAGGACATTTCACCCAACATAGCTGCTATTCACTGTGGATCCTTCAGTGAAATCGCTTGTTGAAGCCCATCAATCGAGGTTTTAATGACTATAAAATTCTCCGTTTATTTACTATTTTAAATTTTAATTATATACTATCGTTACATACGAACTGTTCTATCTCTTTTATTTACAAACTGAAACCCATATAATTAAGGCCTAAAAATATGATACTCGTGAGTAGGAGTTGTCAATGAAAAAGTGTTAATGAGCAATTTGTAGTCAACATGTTTTGGATGATTGTTTATATAGTGTCTATTGTCAGAGTGATAAATGATATACTCACCAACTTGAGAACGTAGTTTGATCTGCTGGTTCTTGCCTAGTTTAACTCAAAATCTCTATTTTTATGACAAATTTATTGCATTTTTAATTGCCAACTCGGTTAGAATATAAAAGTATAAAATCTATTTTCCCCAACGTGTCCGAGCCCGCGATATATGGCGGGAAACTATAACTACTTCATCTTATCTATAGTAATCTGTTCGTAACA